GGCCTCGCCCGGCGTCGGGGTCCGAGAGCCCAGAAGTTATCCCGAAGATTGGCGGCGAAGAAATACCGGCACACAGTTGCGTCCATGAGGTTGCGGCTTTCGCAGAGGAGTTCCGCTGGCTGGGCGACTGCGATGATCCTCGAGGCCGTTGCCGACCCGCGCAACGGCGCCGCGCTCGCGGCCGCGGTTTACCTCCGCAAGTTCAAGGCTCAACGAGGGCAGTGACAGACGCGCGCGGAGACCTTGGACGCGCGGGTCGAGGCGTTGGACAGGACCAAACCAACAGGGTCAAAAATAACAAGGTTTCTGCGAACATGTCGGCGATCGTAGGGTCAGCGCGCCCAGGCGACAAGACGACGAGCGGGCCGCGGACGACAAGCGGACCCTGGGGAGTGAGTCGAGGCTTCGGGGGGTCAGCTCTGCGGAAGAACCCTCCGTCAGGGGTTCGGTCGGGGGCGCTGGTGGGGAAGCATCCGCGCCCGAGTCGCATTGGCGGAATTCCGCAGTTGCCCGCTGGCGCCGTGGTTCTTTCGAGGCGCGCGCGCCGCGCCTCTTGTGGATGCGGTGCGGCAGTGGCGGCTTGCGCGGACGCGCTGTGCCCCCGCGGCCCCCCCCCAGAGCCGCGCGCCAGCGATCGCTCTCGCCCCGAGTCGCCCTTGCGCTTGGGTGAGTGTAGTGTTATGAAGTCTCGGGGCCCCTGCAAGCCCTCGCCCCCAAGATGAACCCCCCCCCCGGCCTCAAAGATGCTCCCGCGAGGACCCCGCGAGGCCGCGTGAGGTCCCAAGAATCGGAGGGTGCAAGACGTTCCCCAGAGGCACACCCGAGGCTCCGAATATATTCCGCAACGGCCCCTTCCCCCGCGAACTTCCACCTCGCATCCTCAGTTCCGCCCTTCTCCTCAACCTTCTTGTCCTTGCTTCTCTTCTGCTTCTCCGTCCTCCCCATCGTCCTCTTCCTGATCCAAGCCCCATCACTCCTTCTCCCTCCTGCAGTGCGTCCTCCTCTTCCTTCCGGCTCGTCCTAATGTTCCTTCGCCTCCTCCGCATTATTCCTCTAGCCTCTTCATTCATCCCCCCGCCCTGATCCAATACGCACACGCACACGCACACGGCATCTTGCCCCGCACCTGTTTTGACGAGTGAAGAGGGTGGAAACATTGAATGACAACGTGGCAAAACATGGCAGCGAGGCCAAGTTTATAATACATTGTGTAAGCAGGGCTTGCTTCAAATGTAGACGTACGTTCATTGTGGCCCGCGAGCCAATGTTCAGTGACATTCTCGCCACCAGTATTTGTGCTCCCAAGTCAAGGGCCCGGTCATCTGAACACGGCGCGCTATGAGTTATGGTGCGTGGACAGGGATCGTGGTATATGATGATGTACGGGTGACATGCCCGTGCCCAAGTTTTTACAAGAACCGCAGCTCGAAATTATCGCATGTAATTCAAAACAACGACAACACGAGGTCGAATCCGAGGAGGAGTGGTGGGGAAGAGGAAGAGGAAAAAGCAGATGAAGAAGAGAAAGGGGACATCATGGGGATTATTAGCAACTGGCCGTTGGGAATGGGGTGGGATACAGGGTCGTGGTCGAATGCGCATGGAGGGCTTCTTGGACCCCTCTGAGGCAGTGTGGGGAGCCTCTTGGGCAGTCTTGGGGCCGTCTTGGGAGTCTCTTGATCCGTCTTGGGCCATCTTTGGTTGTCCTGGTGTCATCCTGGCTGTGTTGAAGGACATCTTGGCTGCTTGGACGCGGCAAAGGGAGTCGAAGAGCAAATTCAGGGGGGAAATAATTGTTAGGGACACGCGCTAGTACAGTTAACGCGAATAGTGACGGTGAGAGACGTTCCAGCGTTACCTTAGCATCTTTGTCCATTCGGCCAATCGTGCATCCTTATTCTACGCTCTTGCTGTAGGGGAGGATGTCCTAGAACGCCAGAAACCTTCCAGGCACCACACGAGCAGTCTTACACGCCCACTCCGTGCAGGCACGGAGGCGGACTGAACATCCGGTTTGGTTTTGTACCCTGACGTCGCCATCTGCGTGATGGGAAGCGTCCGATGTTCCGAACTCTGAGGTTTTCCCTAACGACACGGCTATAGACATGGCGGACTTAACATTCTGGCTTCAATTGAACGTTTCTGAGCTCTACTCCCTCGGAGGTGCACGCATAATGCTGCATATGTATGCATGTATGTATGCATTATTCAGGCAGGCAGGCCTGTCTGCGTGTATGTATGCATCTATGTAAACTTTGCAATGCATTCCATGCAATTTAATGTATGTAAGTATGCATGTATGCATGCATGCATGTATGTATGTATGCTTAGATGTAATACATTTATATATGTATGTTTGTCTGCCTGTCTCTCTGTCTATCCGTCTGTCTCTCTGTCTGTCTGTCTGTCTGTTTGCATGCATGCATGTATGTACGTATGTATGTAATGCAATGCGGTGCAATGCAATGTAGTGTAACGTACGTAATGTAATGCCATGTAGTATAGCGTAATGTAATTTGCTGTAGTACATTGTACGGTAGTGTACTGTAATGTAATGTTATGGAATGCGATGTATGTATGTATGTATGTATGTATGTATGTATGTATGTATGTATGTATGTATGTATGTATGTATGTATGTATGTATGTATGTATGTATGTATGTTATGATATATATATGTCGATATGTCTGCATGCTTGTATGTTTGTATGCTCGTATGTAAGATGTGTATGTGTTTCTAAATGCTTTCCGTATGCCTGTCTGTCTGCATGCATGTTTGTTTGTATGTATGTACGTGTGTATGTATGTATGTCTGCATCCGATATATGTATGTGCGTCAGCCTGTATGTATGTCTGCCTGCCTGTATTTCTGCATGTATGTATGTACGTATGCATGTATGTATGTACGTATGAATGTTTGTAATGTGTAAGGTAATGCCATGTAATGTAATGCCATGTAACGTAATATGATGTATTGGAGTGCGTGTGTATATGTACACATATTCCTATGTATGTAGGTAAGTATGTATGCATGTGTGTACGTATGTATGCATGTATGTATGTCTGTGTCTGTCTGTCTGTCTGTCTGTCTGTCTGTCTGTCTGTCTGTCTGTATCTATGTATGCTTGTATGTATGTGCTGCTATATCTGTAGTTGTAAACCGCTATGTAATGGCCTTCGGCCGATTCCGCCAATATGCCTGGGTTGTGAGTCATAGGCCTCTTGGTCTCTTGGGGCCTCTTGGGGCCTCTTGGGGGCCTCTGAGGCCTCCTGGGGTATCTAGGGACGGAAGACTCGAATTTGTCGGTTCGGACCCTCCTCTCGTGCCCCACTTGGGGTCTTCTTGGGGCTCTCTTGGGCTGTCTTGGGCACCTCTTGGGCCATCTTGGGGGCCGTCTTGAGGCCCTCGTGGGCTGTCTTGGGCCTCTCGTGGGGACCTGTTCGGCCGTCTTGGGTCGATCTTGTGGGCCCATTGGATCGCCTTGAACGCCGTGAGGCCGAAAAGTTGTATGAGTGTTTATGCTAAAGATTTACGTCTTCCCATATCAATTTGAATATTTGTCGGGGTGCTTCCGGCCCGGGCCCGCTTTTGGGGGGCCGCCAAGCAGCCCCAAGTGCGATCAGACAGCCGTCCCGACGGCACGACTGCCCCGAGCTACCCCGAAGACGACCTCCAGGGAACCTACGGCCCAAGAAGCTTTCTGAACGGCCCAAGGAGCCCCTAAGACGGGCCCAAGAAGGCTCCAAGAGGACCCCAGCGAGTGACCCAGGGGGCCAACAGCGATCGTGCTCCATCGGTTTTTGACGGGCTTCTGAGTGCACGCTTTTTCGGGCTTCCAGTGCCCAAGAGGCCCCCCAGGACGGCCCCAGAGGGGCCCCCGAGCGGTCCCAAGAGGGGCCGCCGCCTGGGGGGGCACCTTGGCGGGTCCCGGGGGCCCTGGTGGACCGTGGGGGCTCCCTCGAGCTCCTCTGGGGCGCTCTCGGTCCGTCTGACGCTTTCAGAAGCCGGCAGGGAGGCCTTCTGGGAGGTCTCTGGGGAGGTGCTGGGGAACTCTGGGGCGTTGGGGAGGCCGTCGTGTGGCCTCATGGGGCTCCTCTTGGGGCAGGCTTGGGCCACTGGACGGCCATTCGGGAGCCGCAGAAGCCAATCGGAATCGGAGCCAGCAGGGTTACCTATATATATATATATATATATATATATATATATATATATTGCCACGGTGATGGGGCTGTGTGTCAGAGGTCTCTGGGGTGTTCGTTGGTGCCTCGATGGAAGCCTCTTGGGGGCCGTTTTGGGGCTTCTGGGGGCCTCTTTCAAGCCTCAAGGGGGCCTCTTGGGGGCCTCGTGGGGGCCTCGTGGGGCCTTTTCGGGCCTCTTAGGGCCTCCTGGGGGGCTGTGAGGGCGGAAACCTAGAAGTGTGGGTTCGTGTTCCCCCTCTTGGCCCTCGAGGCTTCACGGGACGCCGAGAGCGGGAAGGACGCAAGAGATAGGAGACAAGTGCGAACAGGGAGGGACAGCGGGTGGAAGGGAGGGAGGAGGAAGTAGGGGAGGGAGGAGGAAGTAGGGGAGGGAAAGCGAAACGGGAGGGAGGGACAGCGGGTGGGAGGGAGGGAGGAGGAAGTAGGGGAGGGAAAGCGAAAAGGGAGGGAGGAGGAAGTAGGGGAGGGAAGACGGACAAGAAATTGGGAAGGGCGAGTAACGGGAGAAGCGCGACAAATAGTTCAAACGGCTCGAAGCATTTGCACGACAGAAGTGGCGATACACATTCATTGAGTCGAGACGATGACCGTGTTGCGCTAGAACCTAAGCGCGCGCGTGGTTCTAGCATGATTATGTTTATGATTCTGGTGATGATGATTGGAGAGAGGGGGAGGAACAGGAGGAGGAGGAGGAGGAGGAGGAGGAGGAGGAGGAACCCAGACCTCGAAGCTCGAATATGGAGCACCAGGAGGAGCAGTAGCAGGGCAGAGGCCTGCTGGACGCTGCCGCCGCCGGCTCAGGACTCGGGCGGGGGGCGGGCGCGCCCCCCCCGCATTCCCATGTCATTGGCGCAGCGACGCTCGCTCAGGCGACGGGGTGGAGGAGTAGCCGGGCGAGGGGGAGGAGGGGGATGATGATGATGATGATGATGATGATGATGATGATGATGATGATGATGATGATGATGATGATGACGATGATGATGATGATGATGATGCTGATCATCATGATGATTATGATGATGGTGAACATGATGATGCTGATGATGATGATGATGCCGATGCTGATGATGCTGATGATGCCGATGATGGTGATGATGACGATGATGATGATATGATGATGATGATGATGATGATGATGATGATGATGATGATGACGATGCATATGATGGTGCTGCAGGTATGCTGATGAAAGTGGTCATGCTGCTGCTGCTGCCGCTGCTCCTGCTGCAGGCGACTTCGGCAATGATAATGATGATGGTGCTGATGATAATGATGATTCCAATGCTGCCGCTGATCATGATGATGATGATGTTGGTGATGATGCTGCTACTGATGATGATGCTGCTGATGATGCTGAATCACGATGTTGATGCTGCTGATGATGGTGATGATGGTGAGTGTACTGATGTTGATCTTGGCGTTATGGTTGTTGATGATAATGATGGTGGTGGTGATTATGATGATGACGACGATGCTGATCATGTAAATTATGATGATGCTCAAGCTGTTGATACCGACGATGATGCTGATGATGCTGATGATGGTGATGACGCTGCTGATGACGATGATGATGTTGATGATGATGATGATGATGCTGTCGATGATGATCGTACTGATGATGATGATGCTGCTGATGATGATGATGCTGCTGACGATGATGATGTAGATCACGATGATAATGATGGTGATGATGACGAAACTGATGATGGTGATGCTGATGATGATGCTGGTGATGCTGATGATGATGATGATGATGATGATGATGATGATGACTACGATGCTGCTGCTGCTAATGATGATGCTGATGATGATGATGATGATGATGATGAGGATGATGGTGATGATGCTGCTGATCATGATGATGTTGTCGTCGTTGTTGATGATGATGATGATGCTGATGATGCTGATGTTGATGATAATGATGATGACGCTGATGCTGAGGCTGATGCTGGTGGTGATGATTGTGACCATGCTGATGACGCTGATGAGGATGCTGATGATGATGATGATGATGAGGATGTGGATGATGATGATGTTGATGGTGCTGATGGCGATGCTGATGATGATGATGATGCTTCCCATGATGAAGCCGATGCTGATGAGGATGATGATGTTGCTGATGATTATACTGATAAGTATGATGTTGTAAATGATAATGATGATGCTGATGCTGGTGCTCATGATACTGATGATGCTGCTGAGGATGATGATGCTGTTGATGATGCTGCTGATGACGATGATGATGCTGATGATTCTGGTGATGCTGCTGATGATGATGCTGCTGCTGTTAACTGTGATGATGATGCTGATAATGCTGATGGTGATGCTACTGATGATAATGATGCTGATGATGCTTAAGCTGATGAGGATGTTGACGATGACAATGATGACGCTGTTGATGATCATGATGATGACGATGATGATGATGATGATGATGATGATGATGATGATGATGATGATGATGATGATGATGATTGTGATGCTGATGATGATGCTGCTGGTGATGCTGATGATGATGACTGCGCTGCTGCTGCTAATGATGATGATGATGGTGATGATGCTGCTGAGCATGATGATGATGTCGTTGTTGTTGTTGATGGTGATGATGCTGATGATGATGGTGATGATGGTGATGTTGATGATAATGATGATGACGCTAATGCTGAGACTGGTAATGGTGGTGATGATGATGACGATGCCGATGACGCTGATGAGGATGCTGATGATGTTGATGGCGGTGATGACGATGCTGATGATGATGATGCTTCCCATGATGAAGCCGATGCTGATGATGATGATGTTGCTGATGATTATACTTATAAGCATGATGTTGTTGTTGCTGATAATGATGATGCTGATGCTGATGCTGATGCTGACGATGCTGATGCTGATGCTGCTGATAATGCTGTTGATGATGCTGCTGATGACGATGATGATGCTGATTATTATGGTGATGCTGCTGATGATGATGCTGATGCTGCTAATGATGATGATGATGCTGATAACGCTGATGGTGATGAAACTGCTGATACTGATGATGTTGATGATGTTTATGATGATGCTGATGCTTGCAATGATGATGATGACAATGATGATGATGCTGATGATGATGATGCCGATGATGGTGATGCTGATGATGATGGTGGTGGTGGTGATGATGATGCTGATGATGATCATGATGCTGCTGATGATGATGATGATGACGATGATAATGATGATGATGATGATGATGATGATGATGATGATGAGGATGATGATGACGACGATGATGATGATGATGATGATGTCGACGACGACGATGATGACGATGATGCTGATTATGAGGATGCTGACGATGACGGTGATGATGATGTCGACGACGACGACGACGACGGTGATGACGATGATGCTGATTCTGAGGATGCTGATGATGACGGTGATGATGGTGATGCTGCTAATGATGATGATGATGATGAGGATGATGATGATGATGATGATGATGATGATGATGGTGATGATGGTGATGATGATGATGATGATGATGATGATGATGGTGTTGGTTGTGGTGGTGGTGGTGTTGGTGGTGGTGATGATGATGCTGATGGTGATGCTGATGATGATGACGATGATGATGCTGCTGCTGCTGATGATGACGATGGTGATGATGATGATGATGATGATGATGATGATGATGATGATGATAATAATGATGATGACGATGATGATGATGATGATGATGATGATGATGCTGATCATCATGAGGATGATTATGATGATGGTGAACATGATGATGATGATGATGATGATGATGATGATGATGATGATGATGATGATGATGATGATGATGATGATGATGATGATGATGCGGTTGAGGTGGCCGATGATGATGTCGAGGAGGAGGAGGTGGAGGAGGTGGAGGAGTAGGAGGAGGAGGGGGAGGAGGAAGTGGATCAGGAGGAGTACGAGGAGGAGGAGCAGGAGGAAGATGATGATGATGAGGAGGAGAATAGGAAGAGGAGGAGGAGGAGGAGGAGGAGGAGGAGGAGGAGGAGGAGGAGGAGGAGGAGGAGGAGGAGGAGGAGGAGGATGAGGGGGAGGGGGAGGGGAGGAGAGGGAGGATGAGGAGGTCGTGGAGGAGAGGAGGAGGAGGAGGAGGAGGAGGAGGGAGGAGGAGCAGGTGGGAGGATGAACATGATGTCGAGAACGAGGATACTGGAGGAGGAATAATAATAATAAGGAGGAGGAGGAGGAGGAGGAGGAGGAGGAGGAGGAGGAGGAGGAGGGAAGGGGGAGGAGGAGGAGAAGGAGGAGGAGGAGGAGGGGGAGGAGGAGGAAGAGGAGGATGAGGAGGAGGGCTCTGGGAGAACGCGTGTGCGCACCCTCTCCTACGCCCATTGGCAAAATATCAATGACCCCTCCGCTGCTTGACGCCATCGCCTCTGCCGTATCTGGGCCATCCCGTCGTTTCCTACTTCATGCTCGTCTTGTTCTTTCTTGGATCCTTACAGATATGTGCCGTCCTGATTCGGCGGCGAGCGAGGGGGAAGTAAGAAGAAGAAGGCCTTCTCAGAAGGCGGCGGGACTTCTCCGAAGCCCTCGCGCCTTCTGAGAGGTTGTCTGTGTCTTCGGGGAAGGCTTAGCAAACTTCTCAGTATGTCAGGGGACTTCCGAGCCTTCCGACAAGGACTTCTCCTTCTCACTTCCCCCTGGGCGCACCGCCAACTGATTCAGGCTTCTCTTTCTCCTTCACGTGTCCACCTGTCTCAGGCTGCTTCGCAGTTGCTGCGCAGTTGCGATGTGCGCCCCGCCCCACAGAAATCAGTGCTTCGTGGCCACTGTGCGACATCGTGGAGGGTGCTGGTTCGTGTCGTAATTTTCGTTCGGTAACGTCGTCCTGTGGTGTTCGCGGAGGGGAGGAGGAGGAGGAGGAGGAGGAGGAGGAGGAGGAGGAGGAGGAGGAGGAGGAGGAGGAGGGGAGGAGGACGGGGACGAGGAGGACGACGAGGACGAGGCGAGGACGAGGAGGAGGAGGAGGAGGAGGAGGAGGAGGGAGGAGGAGGAGGAGGAGGAGGAGGAGGAGGGGAGGGGACGCAGTAGGACAAGAGCACGGGGAGGACGGCGGCAGGAGGAGCAGCGGCAGGGATCGGGGGAGGCTGTTGGACGAGGATGCGGATGGTAACGAGGGCATGGATGACAATGTCCTCGCCACGTCCGCGAGGGGGGCCGCGGTCTTTTTTTTTTTTTCTTCTTCTTCTTCTTCTTCCTCTCCGTCGTCGTCGTCGTCGTTGTCGTCGTCGCCCTCTCGCGCTCCCGCTGCTTCTTCATCTCCTGCTCCTCCTGCTCGTGGCTCTCGTCCCGCTCCCGCCGGCGGGGGGCGGCTGCTCCCCCCCTGCCATGCCGCGGCTCCTCCCTCCTGCCCCCGCGGCTCCCGCGCCGCGCGCTCCTGCCGCCTCGTGCGCCTGCCCTCTCTCTCCCGCGCTCTCCCGCTGCCGCCTCCCCGCGGCCGCGGCCCCGCTCGCCCCGCCGCAGCGGCCGCGGACCCCTGCCAGCGGAGGGGGGGGGGCCGCCGCTGCCAGCGGGGCGGGTGCGCGAGAGCCCGCCGGCGCTCGCCGGCTCCGCCGGAGGGGCCCCTCCCCGCCCGCACCACGAGGCCCCGAGGCCTCCCTTCAAACGACGCGAAGATCGGGACAAAATCGGATCGGGAGAACTCGAAATCTCTGAGAATCGGCGGGTTTGGAGGATGTATTGGGCGCCGCGGCCGCTCCAGAGCGTTCCGGAGCGCTCTGAGAGCGCTCCGGAGCGCTCTGGAGCGAGTTATCCCGATCCCAGCCCTGTTTGATTCCTCGCTCGCCCTGTGCAGCGGCCTGGAGGCCCTCGCGGGGGCGGAGCTCGCGAGCCACGCCTCGCACGCAGGCGCAGCTGGGCATCGCGAGTGGAGGGCCCCGGGCTGCGTGATCCAGCGGTGCGCGCCCCAGCGGCATGCGTCTCGTCTGTGTGGTCGTGCCAGGGCCTCAGCGTTCCCAGACATCTGGCTGCTCCAATTTTTTCACTGCGTGGGCCCCGGAGGTCCAGACCACTTCCCCGGGGCCGGTTTTTCATCCTGAGTCGTTTTTGTTGACGCTCCCGACGCCTGGCGAGGCCCCCCTGAGGCCGAAAACTGCCCAAATCCAGCCGCTCCAACTTTTCTGGAGCATCGGGTCTCTGGGTTCGAATCGACCCAAACTTCGACGTCAATGGCGATGGCGGCCATTTTGCGGCGGCCCTCGCAGCTCTCACGGGGGAGCTGTTTGCAGAGGCTGCCAGCCTGCCCCTGCTGGACGGCGCTGTCCGGCAGAAGCAGCTGCCGGCCCTCATCGATGGGCAACTTGAGGCCCAGCTCAGGGCGGAGGCACGGGTCGAGGGGGTCCACGGCTCGCTCACCTTTCCTCGGTCTCGTTGCCAGGGGCCGGCGCGTGGCCGACGGCCCCTCTGGTAGACGACGGTCGAGAAATCGAGGCGGCGCTCTTCGAGGTCGCCCTCTGGCGGCGCTTGCGGCTGCCGTGGTGCCGGCTGACGCTTGTTGCTGCCCATGCTGCTGCGAGGTGTTTGACTCTTCGGGGGACCACGCCTTGACGTGCTGCTGTGAAGGCGACCGCTCTGTGAGGCACAACGCCGTTCGCGACGTGGTCTTCGGCGAAGCCACTCTCGCGGGGACCGCAGCAGTGCGTGAGAAGGTGGGCCTTCCGCTGTCCAGGCCCTCCGAAGACGGCATCGGGCAATCCGAGTGCCTGCGGACGCCTGCGGACATTTCGCTGCCGCGGGTCTCGGGGGCAGGTGGCGAGGCGCTTGCCTTCGCCTGCGCTTCGGGACTACGCACCGGATTCTTGGAAGAGGTCCGCCGTCGACGGTGGGGAGGTTTTCCCGGCCTGCGAGCACTCCAAGCTCCAAGCGCTCTTTCAGGAACGCAGACACCGAGTGCACGATGGCGGGTCTCAAGCTCACGCCCGTGGTTCTGGAGTCCCATGATGGTGGCCGGAATCCCCTGGGCTTACCAGCCTGAACATATCCCTATCCCTATGCTGGGCACCTCCCCATCACGATGCCAATCTTAGGGATTCCCTTATTTTTTGAGGGCGAATCCCTGAGATTGTCATCGCCATTTGGCGTGTCAATCTTAGGGATAGGGATACGTTCCAGGCTGGTAATGGGCCCGCAGCGTCTTCGACAGGTCCGCGAAGGCCCGAATCGGCGGCGTGGCGCGGAGGTCAAGCGCCAGTTTCACCCCGAATCGCCCAGCGCGCATGCCGTGCACCCTGGCGGAGGGAGAGCGCGCAGGCGGTTCCGAGGAGGCTCGCTCCTCCGGCTTCGCTCCCTGCCGGCAGTGAGCTGGGCGCGCCACGGCTCGAGTCTCGAGGGCGTCGTATAAGTAGTCATCCGGGCCTCCGCGCTCTCTTCTCCGCCCTCCTCCTGCGCCGCCTCCCTCCTCTCCCGCCTCTGCTTCCTCTCGCCCCCCGCGTCGGCTTCCCCCTTTTCCCTTTCTCGGCGCGGGCGCGCGCGCGCGCCCAGCCGCGGGGCTGGCTGGCCCACGCCCCGCGGCCGCGTCTTCGGCCCGTGTGCTGCCGCCGCGCGCGGGTCGCAGCGGAATTGTCCCCCCTCGTCCCTTCTTCTTGTCTTCCTCCTCCTCCTCCTCCTCCTCCTTCCCTCCTCCTTCCCCCTGCTGCCCCGAGCCGGCTGCCCGAAGTCCGGCCGCGTGCGCCAGACAGAGTCTATCCTCTGGCAGTTCGGTCTGGGTCGAGGACGTTTGTGCGAAGGCGTCTGTTGCTTTGGAGGCCGACATTCGTGCCATTCTCGTTGCGTGCTGCCGCTGCCGCCGTCGTCCGTTGATCGAGTGTTCCTGCTCTTGCCGGCGCTTTGCGTGCAATGGGAACCTGGAAGCCCATACCAGGAAGCACCCTGCCTGCCTCCAGGGTGCCCTGTTTTTCTTGGGTTTCAATGGTTTTGCGATGGAAAACTCGACGTTCCCACCAAAAGTCAATGGACGTCCTGTGGTCTTAGGGTTGGGTTTCTTGTGGCAGGTTTCTTCCAGTGGTCGAGCTCCTATGGTACCATTCCAAAAGCCCGTTTTGAGAAATGACAGTCGTGGTTGGTAGTTCAGGTGGGTCGAACAAAACACTTTCCGCTGCTTCTGCTGCTGCTCCTCGGTCATCCCTTGGAGCTGACTTGCGTGCGGTGCAGTTGTCGCTCCGACGTCAGGCTGCCAGGCGCCGCTGGGAAGCGCTCCGCCAGGCTCTCCCGTCATCTGATTCTTCGGACTAGATCGCGCGCTTCCTTATGTGCCGTTGAGTCCCAGAGCTGTTGTCATCGATTCCAAGCCCAGGTTGCCCTGGCACGCAGGTCGTCGCGAGGTACTCGCAGGCCCTGCTGTCGCGGGAAAAACTCCTCGGAACTGACCCTTGCCGGCCAGAGATAGGTCTTGTCCTGGGAGTCAGTGCTTGGGCGAAAGCGCCGACAGCGGAGGCCAGGGAACGCACTTCCTGGGCCCTGGGGGAGAGGCGTGGCCAACTCTCCTCCTCACCCCCTTTCCCTTCCCTTCCTCCTCCTCCTCCTCCCCCTCCTCCTCCTCCTCCTCCTCCTCCTCCTCCTCCTCCTCCTCCTCCTCCTCCCTCGTGCCTTCTGAGCTCGGCGGAGCGCTCGGTGCAGAAGCGCTTCCCCTGCGGCTGTCTATCCCCTGGCCTCGGGCCCACATGGAACCTGCCAACCAAGGGCTTCGCCTTCGAGGACCGAAGGAAATGCCATCCCTTCCTCGGCGGAAGCCGGGCGGAAGGCGGCGGACGCAACACGAGGCTGGCTCCGCTGGCGCAGTCTGGTCGAAGGCTGGCGGGAGGTGGCGGAAGGAAAAGATGCGTCCCCAAGGAATTCACCACCCACCAAACGACCCCAACCCAACCCGACGGCCTCAATTTTCCCGCCATTTCCAGGTGTGGGGGGGGTCGGGAAACATTGAAAAAACACATGGGGCCTGTACGCCTTCAACCCGAAATTCGGGTCAAGTTCGTTCGGGTTGGGTTGGGGTTGTCTGGTGGGTCGTCAAAAGTGACCGCATTTTTGGGTTCAGGGTCTCTGGAATCCGCCACATGTGGGCGGGGTTTTCTCTTCCATGGAGCCGTCGGATGCAACTCCTGGGAGGTCAAATTCTGATTTTGCCCTGGTCCGATATCCGGCTTAATCCGGCTGGATCCCGCTTGATCCAGCTTAATCCCGCTTGATCCCGTTTGATCCGCCTATTTTGCCCTGGTCCGATATCCGGCTTAATCCGGCTGGATCCCGCTTGATCCGGCTGAATCCCGCTTGATCCCGTTTGATCCGCCTTGCTCCCGCTGGATCCGAGGCCCACTCTGGCGTAACCAGCCCCCCAAGGGGGCTTCCCAAGGGTGCTTCCTCCTCCTTACACGTGTTGATAAAGTGGTTGTACCCTACCACAGAAATATAAATCAAAGGAACAAACATAGTCCCTCCGACGACAGCCTCCCAGCAGTTGCCTCCTAGGACCGCCGGCTCGACAGCGCCCCGGGGCCGTGGCTGGCAGCAGCCTGCTCCGGGACCCGCGGCGCGACCGCGCCTCGGGGCCGCCGGCGGCCTGCTCGGCCGGCCGCTGGCGTGGCAGCCTCCTGCAGCTCGAGGGGGGGCCCTGCCAGGAGGGACAAAAAGCACACATCGGGACCAGAAATATGTATCATTCATTGTTTTTTGGGGTTTTCGATCGCAGACGCTTAATTGAATGATTACACGGCGCGCTCTTCGTTTCGCTGCCTGCTGCCTCCTGGGATCGACGATTAATTGTGTCTGTGTCACAGACACAATTAATCGTCAATCCCGTCGGAACATATGGGAAAATAGGGGAAGTGGGGGGGAAGACGAAAACCCAAAAGATATGGAGAAACATGGGGAATCCGGGTACAGTCGGCCCGGATTGGTAGGTCGGCCCTGCCAGCTCAAGGGTACCTTTTGTGTCCTGTGCCTCGCGACGCGTGCCTTCTTACACTCCCACGGCGATGTGGCCCCCAGAAGGGTCTTGTGTCCTCTCGCGTGTCCTGACCAGTCAAGGCCGACTGTATGTGAGTGTGTGTATTTACTTGTGTGTCCCAGGGCCCCTTCACCCTGAGCCTCATGTTGGACGTTCTTGTGCGTCCTGGGGAGGGTGCCCTCGAACGTTCTTCAGTCTGGCTGGCGGGGGGCTCTCATGTTCTTGGAGGATGTTCTTCGTTTCTGGGTCCAGCCGGGTGCTCCTCTGCTTCGGCATGGGGCTGTGCTCAGTTGTCTTCAAACGTTCCCGATTGCCTCTCCTTCTCCCCTCGTCGGGCCTTTTTTTCTGTCTTCGAGCCGCTGCTTTGGCACCGACTTGCTCCGACTGTGCGCTGGCTCTGACCGTCGCTGTGCGTGGTTTGGTCAATCCTGTGGCTGGGAATGCACCGGCCACGCCATTGTCCGTTCTCCCTGTCTTTGTCCTCCTCCTCGCGGAGCTCGATTTGTCTCCACTGTCCACGGTCCAGCGCGCGAGGTCGCCTACGGGAGGCTGGTTTCTGCCGTGCTCCCTGTCTTACTGGGCGACTCTGCGCTCCCGCTGTGAGGACGGGGTCACCGTAGCGACATTCTGTGGGCGGCTCAGGATTTCTGAAGGCACCTCCTCCCTGGCCTCTTCGCCCTCGCCGTAGCCGTTGTCCTCCCCTGGGTTCTCCCCCCATCGCGCCCGCTATCCCGTTCCTCCTTTCAATGGTGCTGCGTTCCCAGTCCTGATATATTCATATATTCCTATTCGTATATATATACATATATATATATATGGACAGCCCCCCAACTCTTCCTTTCCTCCTGCTCTTTCTCCTCCCCTTCTTTCTATATTTATCTTTCTCTCTCTCTCTCTCTTTCTCTCACTCTCTCTCTCTCTCTCTCCTTCTCTCTCTCTCTGTCTGTGTCTCTTCTCTCTGTCTGTCTGTCTCTCTCTTTGTCTCTCTCTCTCTGCCTCTCTATCTCTCTCCTTCTCTCTCTCTCCCTCTCTCTCTCTCTCTCTTTCGTTTGTTTCCTCTCTCTCTCTCTCTCTTTTTTTTTTTTTTTTTTTTTTTTTTTTTTTTTTTCTCTCTCTCTCTCTCTCTTCCAGACGCCCAACACAATCCTTGTGAAAACACCATGCTTGCGATGTCAGGGGTGCGGAAGCCTGGTATTTTCATTTTGATGTTTGGGATTTCTGGGATGCGAGATGAGGAAACCATGTGCTTTCGTCGGGAGTGTTTTTTGGTTTTTTGATTTTCCTCCGGTAGAGATCCAAGCCGGGAGCCCTCTCAGGAGTCCCGATCCCCAGAATCCCCAAACATCCCAAATTATCCAATGACAAACACATTGTTTCCTCACGTCTCACACCAGAAATCACATACATCCAAATGCAAACAAACGCTTTCGCACCCCCGACGTCGCAAATCTTGTGTCCTCATTTGGGCTGTTGGGATTCCTGGGATGAGAAATGGGGAACCCGTGGGTTTTCATTTGTTGGTAGATTTTTTGGATTTCCCTCCCTCCAGCGGAAATTAAATCCAGGAGCCCTCCCAGGAGTTCTGATCCCCAGAATCCAACACATCCCAAACAATCCAATTGAAAACACATTGTTTCCCCATCTCGCATCCCAGAACGCACAAACAGCCAGAAGACAACACATAATTTCCGCACCACTGGTTTCGCAAACCATGTGCTTTCACAGGGGTTGTGTCGGGTGTCTGGGAGAGAGGGAGGGAGAGAGAGAGAGAGAGAGAGAGAGAGAGGGAGAGAGGGAGAGAGAAACGATGTTTGAGATGTCCGGGGTGAGTAATGAGGAAGCCATGTGCTCCCAGCTGGGTTTGGGGGATTTTTGGGATTCTGGGGATCAGCGCCCCTGGGAGGGCTCCTGGGTTGGATCTCCGCTGCAGAGGAAAATCAAACAATCCCAAATATCCAGAAAACAACACATGCCAGAACACCTAATAGTCCAACTGAAAACACAGGGTTTCCGCACCCTTGACATCGTAAACCTTGTGATTTCACAGGGGTGGTGTTGAGTACTTGAGCGAGCAGGAGAGAGAGAGAGAGAGAGAGAGAGAACAAAAAAGAGAGGGACAGAGAGAGAGAGAGAGAGAGAGCGAGGGAAAGACAGAGAGAGATATATAAAAAAGAAAGAGAGAGAGGGAGAGCTATAACGATACATATATATATATATATAACGCGAGAAAGAAAGATAACGAGAGAGAGAGAGAGAGAGAGAAAGAGACAGGCATTCTCTAGATCCTGCTGGTTGCAGTTGGATTCCTATTGACATGCAGTTTACATCTCATTTGGGTGGGGTGGAACCCAGATTCAGCTGATTCCAATCTGATTTCTGTAGGGACCTACTCGAACCTAAGTAGAACTAGCAGATCCCAGATCCAGCTGATTCATAATGTATTCCCATGGGAACCTATTCATAATCTAATTGGAATCGTGCAGATCCCAGATAGAGCTGACTCAAGTATATTCCGATCAGGATCTAATTCGAACCCACTTAGACTTGAGCAGATCCTAGTTCCAGCTGGTTCTAAATATATTCCAACCTGCTTTAATTCGAATTTCATTGAGATGGAGCAGGTCCCAGATCCATGTGAGTAAAATCAGATTCTTAGCGGGATACACTTAAAATCCACTTGATATGAAGCAGATCCCAGGTCCAGCTGGTTCTAATCTGATTTCTATTGGGATTCAATTAGAATTGAATTGGAATTGGACACATCCCAGATCCAGCAGCGTCCCACTGGGATTCTTATTGTAGTCCTGCTTGAATCTAATTGAAGTTGAGCAGGCCACTGATCCAGCTGATTCCAAAGATATTCCGATTGAAATGGACTTCACATCTAATTGGAATCGAGCAGATCCCAGATTCAGCTGATTCCAATTCGATGACTTTTGGAATCGAATTTGGAACTAATCGGAATGGAGCAGATCCCAGATACAGTTGTTTCCAATTTTTTCCTATTGGTATGGAGTTAAACCTAAGTCGAATTGGGCAGATCACAGACCCAGCTGATTCCATTTGCATTCCTATTGGAATATACTTAACATCTGATTGGAATTGAGCATATCCCAAATCCAGCTGATTCCAATTAGATTCCAGCGCGAGAAAGCAGCGGAGAAATGACGAACACGGAAGATGGATGAGCAGCAGACGTGGACGAAAGGCAGGCGGATGACCAGCAAGAGTACGAATGAAGACCTCAAAGACCGATGCGAATGAAAGGGTGTTGGGGGGGCTGCGTTACACTTATGCATGCACACACATTTTTATATATATATATATATATATACATATGTACACATGCCAAGAGTATAAGTATATTATGTACGGACACATCTATCCATATTTACAATTGTTCCCCACCCGTGGTGTTCCCGAGCTCTCGACCTCACCGTGTTGGGACCTTTCCTTTCGTGGCCCCCGGCGCCTGAGGACGGGCACACGAGCGCCGCTTCCGTAAAGGAGGAGGAGGAGGAGGAGGAGGAGGAGGAGGAGGAGGAGGAGGAGGAGGAGGCGGAGGAGGAGGAGGAGGAGGAGGAGGAGGAGGAGGAGGCCAGGAGGAGGAGGAGGAGGAGGAGGTCGTGATCTTGATGCGGCGCGTGGGGGCCCTGGATTCTCCCTGGCCCTGCCTCCGCGCCAGGACGATCCGGGATGACGGCTGCTGCCTGTGCTTCCAGTGCTTCGCCAGGCTCCTCCGCGGGAGGGACGCGATCAAGACCGCGGCGAGCAGGAGGGCGCCTCGCCGCCGCAACCGCGCCCGCTCTGGTAGGATGCGGCGATGAGGATGGTTGTGAGGTCGACGGTGGGGGCAGTTATATATGAGGGTAGTCATTTCCTTCCCCCCAGGCTACAGTTTATCCCACGAGTTTTCCCATGGCAGGCCGGCTCGTACATCGGTCCGAGTTTGCATGGCGATCTTCTGCTTCACGTTACTGTGCCAGTCACGCCGTAGTGATATTCAATTCAGTGGTCGCGCGCTCCCCGTCTCCTCTCCTTCTGGAAAAAAGTCATACATCGAAGACGCCCACGGCGAACCACCGCCGCTCCCTGCCTTTTGGGATACGCCTATGCGGCCAAACGTTCGGGCAGAGTTTGGCCACGCTATCGGACCAGGCGTTCCCCCAAGGAAGGAAAAGGAGGCTGAATAGAGGGAGGAAAAGGGAGGATGAGGAGAAGGATGAGGAGACCTCCTCGGAGCTTCTGGGGTTATTCCTGGGGCCTCCTGGAAGCTTCTTGCTGTCCTGGCCCGTTTCGGGGCCTCGTGGGTGGGGGCACCGTCCTGGAGGCCTACGCGGAGCACCCTGATGGTGCTCGGCTGCGTCCAAGAGTGCTTGGGAGTTGCGTGGTCCAGGCCCTTAGGAGCTTCACAAACTTTTTCAGACTTGCGCGAACTCTCGGAACTGCATGAGTCTTGGGGCATTCCACTACGTGGTGAAGGCACGGTGGCGGATTATTGATGATGCTGATGATACTGCTTATGACGATGACTGTGAGGATGAGGATGATGAGGATGCTGCTGATGCTGCTGATGATGATGCTGCTGATGATGATGATGAAGATGGTTCTGCTGCTGATGATGGTGATCTTGATTCATTGACTTACGCCGCACCGCCGACCCCTTGGGGCGGCAGCAAGAGTGAAAGACAGAATTCGCAGAACGCGCGCGATCGCTGGGCAATCTTGGGGTTTCGGCCTGTCCTACGTAGCGTGTGGGGTTCAAGGGGGGCCTTGTAGGGGATTGTATCGACAATTTTTCGTGGTCTTATGTGAGTTTCTTGGGGCCTTCACGGGGCCTGTCCCAGGCCTCCTTTTCCACCTCCTGGATCGGCTCGGGGATCGTTGAGACCCAGCTGGGGTTGCGTCCGGCCAGAAGTTCGAGAGTGGACCCAGCTGTGTCGACGAGGAGCTTCCTGAAGGCCCAGAGGGGGTGGAGAGCGCCCAAGAACTAAGAGCCATGCCTCGAGCCTCGATCCACCCCGTGTTCCTTCCTTTGCGAAGGGGTGACACCGGCCAGGGAGTTCGATCCTCATCCCAGACTTTCGGCGGTGGTCCCCGGCACCGAAAACGGTTCCTGGAGGCTGAATTCGAGGAGATGCCTTGGGTGGCCGAAAACCATAAAATCTGTGAGACATCGGCGAAATATTCTTTCTTTTACCTAACATCGAAGACTGATAGGTTTCTAATGGTGTAAAAAGAGAGCAGCACATTACTCCACAGGGGGGTCTGGGCAGCCGTTGGGGAGCCGTTGGGGGGCCGTTGGGGGGCCGTTGGGGATTGCCGGGGAACCTCGTTTTTCGCAAACAGTCACACATTTCGTGCTCTTCGACCTCCCAGAACTCCATTCTTCGACCTCCCAGAACTCCATTCCCGGGCCACATTCTGAATGCCCGGAGCCAACTGTAGGCCACTTCGTGGTCTTCGAGTTCCCAGAACTCCATTCCCGGCGTACATTTTGGATGCCCGGAGCCAACTGTAGGCCACTTCGTGGTCTTCGAGAACTCCATCCCAGCCAACTGTAGGCCACTTCCCTTCGAGTTCCCAGAACTCCATTCCCGGCCACATTTTGGATGCCCGGAGCCAACTGTAGGCCACTTCGTGGTCTTCGAGTTCCCAGAACTCCATTCCCGGGCCACATTTTGGATGCCCGGAGCCAACTGTAGGCCACTTTCGTGTTCTTCGAGTTCCCAGAATTCCATTCCCTGGCCACATTTTGAATGCTGAGGCAGGCTGATGCTGAGGCTGAGGCAGGCTGAGGCAGGCTGAGGCTGAGGCCGAAGCTGAAGGCAGACTCAGGCTGAGGCTGATGCAGGCTGAGGCTGAGGCTGAAGCAGGCTGAGGCTGATGCAGGCTGAGGCTGAGGCAGGCTGAGGCTGAGGCTGAGGCTGATGCAGGCTGAGGCTGAGGCAGGCTGAGACTGAAGCCGAGGCTGAAGGCAGATTGAGGCTGAGGCTGAAGCAGGCCGAGGCTGAGGCTGAGGCTGAGGCAGGCTGAGGCTGAGGCTGAGGCAGGCTGATGCTGAGGCAGGCTGAGGCTGAGGCTGATGCAGGCTGAGGCTGAGGCAGGCTGAGGCTGAGGCCGAGGCTGAAGGCAGACTGAGGCTGAGGCTGAAGCAGGCTGAGGCTGAGGCTGAGGCAGGCTGAGGCTGAGGCTGAGGCTGAGGCAGGCTGAGGCTGAGGCAGGCTGAGGCTGAGGCTGATGCAGGCTGAGGCAGAGGCAGGCTGAGACTGAAGCCGAGGCTGAAGGCAGATTGAGGCTGAGGCTGAGGCAGAGGCAGGCTGAGGCTGCGGCTGAGGCAGGCTGATGCTGAGGCAGGCTGAGGCTGAGGCTGAGGCTGATGCAGGCCGAGGCTGAGGCAGCCTGAGGCTGAGGCCGAGGCTGAAGGCAGACTGAGGCTGAGGCTGAAGCAGGCTGAGGCTGAGGCTGAGGCAGGCTGAGGCTGAGGCTGAGGCAGGCTGATGCTGAGGCAGGCTGAGGCTGAGGCTGAGGCTGATGCAGGCTGAGGCTGAGGCAGGCTGAGGCTGAGGCCTGAGGCTGAGGCAGAGGCTGAGGCTGAGGCTGAGGCTGAGGCAGGCTGCTGAGGCTGAGGCTGAGGCAGGCTGAGGCTGAGGCTGAGGAGGCTGAGGCTGATGAGGCTGAGGCTGAGGCTGAGGCTGAGGCTGAGGCTGAGGCTGAGGCTGAGGCTGAGGCTGAGCTGAGGCTGAGGCAGGCTGAGGCTGAGGCCGAGGCTGAAGGCAGACTGAGGCTGAGGCTGAAGCAGGCTGAGGCTGAGGCTGAGGCAGGCTGAGGCTGAGGCAGGCTGAGGCTGAGGCAGGCTGGCTGAGGCTGAGGCTGAGGCTGAGGCTGCAGGCTGAGGCTGAGGCAGGCTGAGGCTGAGGCCGAGGCTGAGGCAGACTGAGGCTGAGGCTGAAGCAGGCTGAGGCTGAGGCTGAGGCAGGCTGAGGCTGAGGCTGAGGCAGGCTGATGCTGAGGCAGGCTGAGGCTGAGGCTGAGGCTGATGCAGGCTGAGGCTGAGGCTGAGGCTGAGGCTGAGGCAGGCTGAGGCTGAGGCTGAGGCGAGGCTGCAGGCAGACTGAGGCTGATGCAGGAGCAGGCTGAGGCTGAGGCTGAGGCAGGCTGAAGCTGAGGCTGAGGCTGATGCTGAGGCAGGCTGAGGCTGAGGCTGAGGCTAATGCAGGCCACTGCGACTGCCATCGCGAATGCGACTACGACTGCGAGAACAGCAGAACTCTACAACTGGATTCTCATCTGAATCTTAAGGGGGATGCTTCCAGATATGCTCCTACACATCGCTGTTAGGTTGCTTTGCCGGGATAATTTGTTCCTCATCCTCCTCCTTCTCCTCGTCGTTCTTCTCCTCTTCTTCTTCTTCTTCTCTTTCTTCTTCTTCGCGATCGAGGTAGATGCCCGCGGCTATATATTTATGTATATGTATATATATATATATATATATATATATATATATATATATAACTATCGAAGACGTCTACGGCGAATCACCGCCGCCCCCTGCCTTTTTGGAAGCGCCTATGTGGCCGAAGGTTGTGGCCAGAGGCCTGCCAAGCTATCGGACCACGTGTTCCCCGAATCGGTTTGGAAAGCCTTCGGGGAACACGTGGGCATCTTGAAGGTCATCTTGGCCGTCTGGAGGCCATTCTGACCCTTTCGGGCCTTCTTGGGGGACGTTTTGGAGGGCTCTTGGGCCGTCTTGGAGGCTATCTTGAGCGTCTTGGAGACCTCTTGGGCCGTCTTGGGGGCCTCGTGGTGCCGTGTCTTGGGCCTCTTGGGCGATCTTTGTGGGCACTCGGGCCGTCTCGGGCCGTCGGAAGGCAGAACAAAGCAAATGCCAGAATCCTTCAAACACCCATGGGAAATCAATGAGCTTGGCCTTTTCGGGCTTTCCTGGAGGCCCTCTTGGAGGCCTCTTGGGCCGTCTTGGGCCATCTTAGGGCTATGTTCGGCCGTCTTTGTGGGCTCTTGGTCCGTCTGACGCTGTCGGAAGCCGTCTTGGGGGCCTCTATGGGCCGACTTGGGGCCTTCTTGGAATGCTCCAGGGCCGTCTTGGAGGCCATCTTGGGCGTCTTAACGGCCTCCTGTGCCGTCTTGGGGGCCTCTTGGGGCCGTCTTGGGGCCCTCTTGGGCCGTTCGGGGGCCATCTTGGAGGCCTCTTGGGCGATCTTTCGGCGATCTTTCGGGGCTCTTGGGCCGTCTTGGGCCGTCGGAAGGCCGAAAAGAAGCAAATGTCAAAATCCGTCAAATACCTTAGGAACATCTATGTCGTTGGCCTCTTCTGGCCTTCCTGGAGGCATTCTTGGGGGCCTCTTGGGCCGTCTTGGGCCAGCTTTGAGCCAACTTCGGCCATCTTGGTGGGTTCCTGGCACGTCTGACGCCGTCGGGAGCCGTCTTGGGGGCCTTTCTGGGCCGACTTGGGGCCTTCTTGGAATGCTCCAGGGCCGTCTTGGAGGCCATCTTGGGCGTCTTGGAGGCCATCTTGGGCGTGTTGGAGGCCTCTTGGGCCGTCTTGGGGCCCTCTTGGGGCCGTCTCGGAGGGGCCGTCATGGGGCCCTCTTGGGCGATCTTGGGGGCCTCTTGGGCCGTCTCGGGCCGTCGGAATGCCGAGAAGAAGGCAACTCCCCAAATCCTTCAAAAACCCAAGGACAATCAAGGCTTTTGGCTTCTTCGGGCCCTCATGGAGGACCTCTTGGAGGTCTCTTGGGCCGTCTTGGTGGCCTCTGGGGGGCCTCTTGGGCCGTCTTGGGCCGTCCTGGACTCTCTTGGGCCATCTTGGAGGCCGTCTTGGACCATCTTGGGCGGACTTGGAGGCCATCTTGGACCATCTTGGAGGCCATCTTGGGCCAACGTGGCCATCTTGGACGCCATCTTGAGCCGTCTTGGGGAATTTTTTGTGGACGTTGGGGTCCTTGGCAATCCTCCCGGGACCCCGGCGGGACGGGCCGAAGCGCAAGGGGGAGTTCTTTTGGAAAAAGAGCCAAAACCAGAACCGAAAGGGTCCAGCACGCCAGGCACCTCTGCGATGAATCGACAGGGGGCGGCGGATATAGATAGTGGCTTTCGGCCCATCTCGCCGCCGTGCCTTGGTTGTCGGTCTGCGATCCTTGGTGCCCGGGTTGCGGGTTACAAGTTACATGCCTCAAATGGTACTTGGGGTTTCTTGGGGGCCTCTTGGGGGCCTCTTGGGGCCTCTTGGGGAGCCTCTTGGGGGCCTCTTGGGGGGCCTCTTGGGGGGCCTCTTGGGGGCCTCATGGGCCCTGTCGGGCGCCTCTTGGGCCCCCGTGGGGCCGTTTCGGGGCGGGGGGCTCGGATTGTTGGCTCAGGCTCCCCCTCTTGGGCCCCTCTTTGGGCCGCTTTGGGGCACTCTTGGGCCGTCTTGGGGCCTCTTGGGCCGTCTTGGCGCCCTCTTGAGCCGTTTCGAGCGCCATCTTGGGAGCCTCTCGGGCCGTTTTGGGGCGGTCTTGGGGGACTTTGGGGCCGTCTTCAACGCCGTGTAGGCCGAAAACTCGTGTATGATAGGCATGTGCGTTTCCGCATCGGAATTCGACGATTTTGGCCTTTGGGGCTCCTCTTGGGAATGCTCTTGGAGGCTTCCTGGGCCGTCTGGAAGGCTTCCGAGGCCTTGGGGCCATCCTGGGCGTCTTGGGCCGACCTTTGGGCGTCTCGGGGGCCTGTTGGGCCGTCGTGGGGGCTGCTTGGAGCCCTCTGGGGCCTCGTGGGCCCTGATGAGACCTTTGTCCCCCGCCCCCCCCTTCCAAACCGACCGGACCTGGCTCCCAGGGGAGGGGTTTGGGGAGGGGAGCATCTCACACGCCGTGACCCCAAGGGGTCGGCAGATTTTGACGATAATGATGATGAGGATACTGCTGATGTTTGTTATGATGATGATGCTGATGATGTTGATGGTGGTTGTGGTGGTGATGATTGGGGCCTTTAGGTGGACGTGGGCATCGGCGAGCATGTTTACTACCAATAGGATGATGTTACTTGTTCTGATGGTGGTGATGATTATAATGACGACTTTGTCTCTGGTGATGATGTTTCAGATGACGAACATGGCGACGGCGACGACGATGATTATGGTGGTGATGACAATGTTGATGATTAGGATGATGTCGATAATGATGGTGATGCTCATGACAACGACGCAATCATATTTTAATGATGATGCGGATGATGATGGCGACAGTGGCGATAATGCTGATTTTGCATATGATGATGGGGGTAACGATGATGATGATGATGATGATGATGATGATGATGATGATGATGATGATGATGATGATGATGATGATGATGATGATGATGATGATGATGATGATGATGATGATGATGATGTTGCTGCTGCTGCTGCTGCTGCTGCTGCTGCTGCTGATGATGATGATGATGATGATGATGGTGGTGGTGGTGGTGGTGGTGATGATGATGATGATGATGATGATGACGGCGATGATGATGACGATGCCGATGATGATTGCGATGATGATGATGATGATGATGATGATGATGATGATGATGATGATGATGATGATGATGATGATGATGATGATGATGATGATAATGACGATGATGCTGATGAGACGGATGGTGTGGATGCTAAAGGTGATGCTGCTGATGGTTATGATGACGTTCGTGATGATGACAACGCATGCGATTCTGATTCTCATTATTCGGATTTTCATTACTTTGCTGACAATGAAGATGAGGATGAACATGCAGATGAAGAAGAAGATGGGGTTGCTGATGGTGACGATGATGAGGATGATGCTGATACTGATTATGGTGATGATGGTAGTGATGATGACGATGATGCTGCCCATGATGATGTTGATGAGGTTCATGATGATGATGGTTATGATAATGATGATGCTGATCGTGATGACAACGATGATGATGATGCTGATGTTGGTTCTGATGGTGGTGGTGGTGGCGATGGGGACGATTATCCTGATGATGATGTTTGTGGTGCTGTTGATGCTGATGCTGGTGATGATGATGCTGATGCTCATGGTGCTTCTGAGGATGATGGTGGTGGTGGTGATGATGCCGATGATGATAATGCTAATGAGGATAATGATGGTGATGTTGATGGTGGGGTGGTGATGTTGATGATGATGATGATAATTCTACGGCGATCATGATAATGTTGGCAATGGTATTAGTGATAACGATGATGCCGCTGCTGGTGATGATGATGAGGATGAGGAGGAGGAGGATCATGATGACTGTCTTGATGATTGTGATGCTAGGGGCGATGTTTATGATGGTGAGGAGTCGGAGCCGACATCTGGGGCGAGTGGGCCCCCACTTCTTCGGTCGTCCATTAATGTTAGTGCCGATGCCATTGCCATCGCATTGTCACCGTTCCGCAGTCTATCCATGCTTGGCCACTATTGACACCAGATCGCCCCCTGCGCACATCATTTGGTCGGTATTACGGTTGCGACCAAGCAGTACCCCATCGATATTTCTGCCAGCCGCCAGTATCCTCACATAGATCACTATCACAGGATCTATGGAAGAAGCCGTTTAGTATAACCCAACCCTCAGCTTGTTTCCCCCCCAGGCACCTGGTTGATGGGGCCTGTTTCCCATCCGATTTCTCTGCTCCGCATTCTTCACTCTCTATTCTCGCCCCCTCTCCTCCATTTCCTTTCTCCTATTCCCCCCCACCTCACCCGCTCTCGACGCCATTGCGTACATGTCTGCATGTCTTCGCCCAACCTTTCTTCCCTCTGGGTCCCACTCCCCTTTCCCCCCCCCCCTCTCTGACTCGGGTTCTTCATGTGTGTACCTCTCTCAGTCATCTCTCTTATATGTATACGTACACGTGCCACTCTCCGTCTCTCTCTCTCTATCTCTCTCTCTCTCTCGTTCTCTCTCTTTCTCTCGCTCTCTCTCTCTCTCTCTCACTCTCCCTCGCTTGCCACCTCTCTCTACACACATGCATACATACGAATATGTTGTTGCTCCTTTCCCCTTTTTGCTGTCTTATCTTTCTCTCTTTCTCTCGCAGGAGGAAGAGCTTGCGCACCGTGGAGGATAAGGAAGAGTGGGACTTTTCCATGCAGCAGGCAGTCACTCACGAGCTGCTGCGCATCCTGCGGCAGGACTCCGCCCTTGGGGCCCCCCTGGGGTGTGAGAGGGAGAACCGCTGGCCCTGTTCGGGGGCGGGGTTTCAGTGTCCGCGCCAGACCTCCGTCGCGCTCATCGGGGAGGACGCTCGCCATGAACGATGGGAGTACCCTTCGGTCGTTGAAAGTAGGTATTCTGAGATTCCCAGATTCCGATCTACTTTAGGCAACTTCCTACTTCATTGATCGAGTGGCTTCACCTTTTCCGTCCTCTTTCTGGGGTCGGGCGGACACCCAATCTACTTTCAACGCCTTCCTACTTCATGTTTCTACCTACTTCTTCCGACCGATGGGTACTGCGGGACACCGGACCTAGACCCAGGGCTTTCTCTCAGGACCACCTCACCCTCCTGAGTCGTTTTTTTCCGACTGCCCCGGGGGCCGCGGAGGGCCCTACAATACGGGCCCGAGAACGGCGAGAAGACTTCAGCACCCGTCTCCCTCAGCTTCCGGTTCTTTTATGCTAAGATGAGAAGGTTATCACCATCCATCCGCCCGCCCCAACCTAACCCGAATGCCTCAATTTGCCCTCCATCCCCAGTGGGGGGGGGGGTCGGGGAACATGGAAACAAAAACATCTGAAGCCCGTACCCCCCCCCAACCCGAAATCCGGGTCTTTGGGTTGGGTTGGGGTGGTCTGGTAGATAGTCAAGTTACCTCGTTCATTCGCGTACGTAGCAGCATCGCCGCATGTTTTCTGCTCTCACCGTCGTCCCTGGAAACCAGGATGTCCCTGGCCCCAGGCGTGAGATTCCTCCGCTTCGTGGTTGGACTTCACACCTCCTCGCATGGGCCCCCAGCACAGATCGCCATTCCTCGAGGCGCAGGAGCAAGAGGCGGTCGGCGCATCCATGCAGGATAGAGCAAGAATTGGACCTGCGGGGGACTGAGGGGGAGGAGCACGAGGAGAAGGAGGAACAATTGCTGAGGAGATCTGGACCTGAGGTTGAGAGCAGGATTGGGGGGCAGGCTTGAGGGTTGAGGTGCAGGGCTGAGATGAAGGTGTTTAATGTCGAATGAGGAGGAGGGAGACAGAGTATGGATGAGGATCAGGGTTGGGGGAGCAGGGCTTAGGAACAGATTTTTGGGGATAGGTTCGAGAGGAATGTTGAGAAGGATTGCGAGGAGGTTTGAGAAAGATGGGTACGGAGGAGGAGGAGGAGGAGGAGGAGGAGGGACAGGAATAGGAGGAGGGAGGAGGATGAGCAGAAGGAGGAGGAGGAGGAGGAGGAGGAGGAGGAGGAGGAGGAGGGGGAGGAGGAGGGTACGATGGGCACCTGTGCCACTCCTGTTTGCCCGTAGGGGCCAGGAGGAAAACAGGCGGGTAGCAGCCCGACCGTCACGAGAGAAAATTGCTCTCGTCGCCGCGGCCACCTATGGAGTAGGTGGTGGGTCGGTTGGGCGTCGGAGCACGGTTCCGGCGCCCCCTACCCCGAATAGGGAACGCGGAACACGGTCTCCTTGCGTTCCCTGTTCGCGCATTGAGCACGCCACGGGGGCATGGCCCTGGACCGTTGGCGCTGCTCTTCTTCGGCCCCCTGCTCGCCCCCTTAGCAGGTGGGCGTCCGTTCCTCTCTGTGAGGTCTTTGGGGCGCGTGGAAAAAAGAGGAGGGCACGAGGAATAGGCAGAGGAGGATGGGAGGTGCGTGGGTTGGGGAGGCGGGTTGAGTGTTGCTGCGGGTCAGGGTTTGGTTCGACGGTTGGCGAGGAATGTTTTCTTCCAGCGAAGATCCCGGCTGGACCTGGCCGCGGACATGAACGTGCCAGTTATCTGGCACTGGCGTGAACATAGCGCATCGCGGAATTTCCAGTTAATTCTACCATGGAGAGCTGCAGGAATTGGCCCAAGGAGATGCCAGCTACCGTGCCACAAGTCACATGCCGTACCATCAGGCGCATGGCATTCAATCAGCGGCGTGCGCCGCGACTCGCAGTCATCAGCCGCATGGGTCATCGAACCTGTCGTCGTTAAGGTTGGTCGTCCGCGCAGCTTTGGGGTCACTTCCCGAGAAGCATCGGTCCAGACGCCAGTGTCTTCTTTCATTGCAGAGACCTTTGTACTAAACGATTGCACATTGTACGTCGCTAAATTTCCTTGTCCGCCCAACTCTGCCAGGCTTGCCCGCGTTCCGTATTTATCCTTGAAGTTCTAGGCCTGCCATAGTACATGGCATGAGGCTTTGGAAAAACAGTGGAGCAGGAGGAGGAGGAGGAGGCATGCTAATGACGGGTTATGATGGTGGTGATAATGATGGTGATGATGCTGATGCTGATGATGCTGATGCTGCTGATGAGGATGATGATGATGATGCTGGTGCTGCTGGTGATGTTTGTGATGATGTTGATGGTGCGGATGATGTTGCTGCTTGTGTCGATGCTGCTGATGCTGCTGCTGAGACTGCTGCCGGTGATGATGAGTACGAAAACGATGTTGATTATGATGATGCGGACGATGCTGTTGGTGATGATGCACATGATGATGCTGATGATGGTCCTGCTGCTGATAATGAGGATGACGATGCTGATGGCGATTCTGATGCGGATGGATGATAATGACGATAATGCTGATGACGATGCTGGCGATGATATTGTTGATGACGATAATGCTGATGCTGATGATGATGGTGGTGGTGATGATGATGGTGGTAATGATGATTGTGATGGAGATGACGATGATGGTGATGTTGTTGCTGATGGTGATGACGACGATGCTGATGCTGCTGATGATGAGTTGGCTGTTGATGATGAGGATGATGATGATGCTGATGATGACGCTGATGCTGTTGCATATGAAAATGGCCGTGCTGAAAACGAATCAGATGCAGATGCCGATGGTGATGACGATGCTGATAAAAAGCAAGAGTTTGATGACGGTGCTGCTGATGCTGATGCGGACGGTGATACTGATGCTGCTGCTGCTTATGATGACGATGATGATGCTGATGATGATGATGATGATGATCACGACGATGATGATTATGATGGTTGACTATTAGCATTGTTGAACTGTTTTCGGAGGGGAGGGTGGAGCAGGATGGTTGATCAGGAGGGTCCATGAGGAGGTTGGGGGGTTTGAGGGTTGACGACGTGAGGCTGGTCGAGGAGAGAGGTCGAGGAGGAAAGGGGACGAGGGCTGAGGAGAAAGGATGTTGTAGAAAACGATTCATCTCCCCTCCATCCAATCCCTCATCCGCAGCACTACTCAGCCTGCCCATCAAACCCTCCCTCCTTCCTTTCCCTCTTCTCTCCTTCCGTCCTCCCCCTTATCCGACCGTCCTCATCAATCGTCCTCGTCAACCCGTCGGCCCCAGCGTCTCTCCTCCACCCTGCTCTCCTGCGCCCTCAAGCTGAGCACCTTCCCTCCGCCCCTTTCCCTTGTGGACCACTCCTCCCAATGGAATCATCAGACGTGTCGGTAGGGTGGGCCGGGCGTTTTGCCCTAGACTTCCTCGCCATTCATGTTCCTGAGGGCTGCTCCTGTTCATAGAACCTGTCGCGACCCAAATTAGGGTTGTTTTTTCTGTGAAAAAGGCAAACCAGTGCAGTTCTGAGCAATCGGCACTGCTCAACCATGCTTGGCATTGCTTGGAATCGTTGCTTGGCACTGCTTGGCGTTGTTTGTCATTGCTTGTCATTGCTCAGCATTGTTTTGTTTAGCTTTGCATTGCTTGGCATCGCTTTGCACTGCTTTACATTGCTCTGCATTGCTTTGCATCTCTGTGCATTGCTTTGCATTGTTTTGCGTTGTGTGGCACTTCTTGGCAGTGTTTGGCACTGCTGAGCATTGCTTGGCATAGCTTGGCTTGGCTTTCCTTGGCGTTGCTCGGCGTTGCTAGGCATTGATTGGCATTGCTCTGCGATGCTTGGCCTTACTTGGTATTGGCTGTGCATTTCTTGGCGTTGCTTGGCATTTCTGGGAATCTTTGCCTGGCATTGTTTGGCGTTGTCTGGCATTGCTTGGCGTTGCTTGGCGCTGCTTGTGATATGTTCGCATTGCTTGGCATTGCTTGGCCTTTCTTGGCGCTGCTTGCTATTGCACAGGCAATCCTGGGCAAACTCGGGCAATCTTGGACACCCCTGGGCAATCTCGGGTAGCCGCGCGCCACGCCGGGTGCCGCGCGGGTAACCCCTTGCAACTCTGGACAACCCTGGGCAACACGAAACTGCAGCGTTCCGCGGCACCATCGACCAAGCGCAGGGCGCGCTCCTGCGGGAGAAGCCCCAGGATCAGTATCGTCGTCGTCGTCGTCGTCGTCGTCGTCGTCGTCGTCGTCGTCGTCGTCGTCGTCGTCGTCGTCGTCGAGGAGGAGGAGGAGGAGGAGGAGGAGGAGGAGGAGGGGGGGAGGACGCGACGACCTGGAGGCAGAACGTGAGGATGAGGAGGAGGAGGAGGAGGAGGAGGAGGAGGAGGAGGAGCGCCTCTCCCCAACGAAACCAAGCACACTCCGGGAGTGGGCGAGGGTCCAGACGAAAACGGCCACGTCCTCGCGCGAGGAGCCGAGAGCGTGGGCCGCGACGGCGGCCCCGCAGACGGCGCTCGGCGCCCTCTCCCCCGTCCTCGGGCACGCGCCCACACGGAGCGGGGAGTGGCCGCGATGGTGGCCCGCAGGGGCGGCGCCCGCTGACTCACGAGAGAGAGAGAGAGGGCACAGCGCCGGTTTTAGTACATGCTCCGCGTGCGGACCATGTATTAAAAATAAGGGTTGATTAATAAATGCAAGGATGAGTTCATGCATAAATTTATTCATGAATTAATCATGTATTAAAATCCCATATATTAGAAATCCTATGTATTAAAACCTGCCCTGTACCGCTCAGGCAAGCCCAGACTCGGAGGCAGCGGTAGGGGGGATGGGCGTGGGGGGGACGCATCGACCCCCCGTCGCCCATTGATCGCCGATAGGGCCTTGATAGCCCCACCCCGCCCAGGCACGCGCAGATTCGCTATCGGGGGCCCATCGCCGATCCATCGGCGATGCATCGCCGATTCCAGGTAGATGCTCCCCCCCTGGGCCGGTCCCCCCACTCGGCCGGTTTCCCCTCACGGATGTGTGTTCGAGCCCGGGGGTACTTTTTCTTTCTCAGCGGCGCCTCGTGGTGGGACCGTCGGGAAGTCAGCGGCCGCCAGAGGCTTGGCTTCATGGCCTGGGACCAGGCGATCGCAAACATGGATCGAGATGCACACGGCCGAACGATGCCCAATTGCAACGACGCCCACTCGCAAACATGGGGGGCGTGGATTAGCGACGGGTCCCGTTTCCATGGGAAAGCGCGGATTCCCGTCGCCGAGCGAGGCGGCACTGGCCGCATCTTGGGGAGGGCCCTCCCCCCGATTCATGGATTTGGCGACCGCGCGCCAAATCCGTGGATCGCTAATCCACGTTGGCGCGCCCCCGATGGGAGTCGTCGCTCGTTTTCGACTCCACCCTGTCGGTGTACGTGTCTTCTCGCCTCCCCTACAGTCAGGGCCCTGAAGAAGGAACCCTTTTGGTTGGGGAGGGGCTCCGCGTTCCTTAAGTGTTTCGCAGCTTGCCTCAGGCTTTCCTTATGTTTTCGGCAGGAAAAAATCGAAGGTTAGCTTATGGGAAAAAGGGGCCTCGTTCCTTATTTAGGGTTCCTTAGGTCAACGCCCCGACTGTATGGTTGCCCCCCTATCGCTGCCCCTCACTAAAGTGGGTGGGCAGGGTGCTCCCGCCTTCGTGCCCGCGAGCACTCGTGCGACACGTCTGGTACAGCAGCTGCAGAGGCAGAGGGCGGCTCCTTTCAGGCTGGGGCCCTCGACTCGTGTGGTTCCCAAGGGGACCCCAGGGAAAGGGACTTTTGAGACGGGCGATGCCGATGTCTCAAGTCCGGCCGGCTTCGCCCGCAAGGTCGTCGCATGACGTTTTCACTCGCACTTCGAGGTCTCAAAGGCAACGCCGCGGTCTCGGAAGTCCCTTTCTCTTGCGTCCCTTTGGGCAGCGTATCATCGACTTGGCTTGGCACACAGTCGTTTTAACAGGCTGCAGCGACGACGAGCGTGGATTCAGAAGGGGGCTCTCGCGTGCGGTTTCCTCACACTTGGAGGCCAGATTCTTGAGCAAGTATAACACGTGAACGGAACGAGGAATGCTTCTTTTCACAATGGGGCTATCGCCTTACCGCAGCGCACATTCGTTCTCAGCGTTTGGAACAGCTACAGAAGCAGAGGGCGGTTCCTTTCAGGCTGGGGCCCTCGACTTAGCGCCGCGCACATTCGTTTGAGTAGGGTGCATCGATGATGAACATGGAGGACGGCCCATCTTCAAACTGGGGCTCTTGCTTGCGACTTCCTCAGACTGGAGGCCAGAATCTTGAATCCATGTAACAACTGTGCGGATCGAGGACGGCTCCTTTTCACAGTTGGGCTCTCGCTGATAACCCTTAACATTTGATGGCCAGGAGTGTAAACGTGTGAAACAGTCACACGGACGGGGTGGACGGCTCTTTGTCAAACGGCGCTCTCATTGGGCATTACTCTTTCTGAGCGTATCGTTTCCCATTTCTTTGTCGTCGATGGCATGCTGCAGGGCAGTTCCGTTACGAAACGGGCATCTTGCCTGAGAGGGAGGCCCACGGGGTGTAGCGAAAATTGAGGATTGCAGGGACTTATGAGGAAGTGACTTGGGACGGGAGTGTGCATTTCAGCCACGTTGAAGCATCCTGGGTGAACTCTGGTCCGTCTCCCTCCTCGTCTTCTTCCCTCCTGATCATCCTTTCTCCTCAGCTCTCCATGCCGACTTAGCCCTCTTCTGCTCTCCGCTTCAGGTCTCCTCAACCCTCATCTCCAACCCTTCGGGGCTTGTGCTCGCGACTGTCTCGGCGCATGACCCTCGGATTTGGAGAGAGTGATGGAGACAAACGCATATCTATATATATATAAGATAGAGAGCGAGACTGGAAGTCCAGTCCGATCGGTCACACGCTCGAGGATGCGGCTCAGGGCTTCAATAATGACTTGAACAAGCAGATGGCCAGTGCGTGTGGCTCCGCGATGAGTGAGTGGACAGCTCAGGAGGCGCGCTTGCTCCTTGAGCGCCCCAAGGCCCGCCTGCGCATGCAGAAGTTTGTTCATCTTAGTCTCATCTCCTCCCTCCTGCGTGACTGCATCTCCTCGACCGTCCTTGCTCTTCTCAACTCCTGGGCGATTCCTCCCAAAGGGTACACGTTGCGTCAGAGCGAATGGGAGTCGCTCGAAGAGCTTCTCTCGTCAGCTTTTCCCCCAGCGGCTCACTCTGCCCTGATCAAGACCTGGGCGGGTGGATGGACCGCCAATCGTCGCCTGCACACCTCGGGGAACACGGGCGCACCCTGTATATTTGCATGCTGCCGCGCTGAGACCCCGAGTGCCATGGACGCCGTGCCTCGCTGTGTGCTCTGCCCCCCCCCTTTGGAGCGCCATCCGCAGCGCTCGGGGCCCCGACGCCCCCATCCCTGGATTCACTGCCTGCGCGCCTCGGCCTCTGTTGCGGGAGCGCAGGTGCGCATCCACAGCGCCCGGCTTTGGGGCGCGCGGCTGCTGCTTTTCAGGCGCAGAACCTGCATCCGAAGTTGGACCCAACTGAGCGGTCCCAGGCTACAGCAGATTTGGAGAGTGTCCGCCCTGCGAGAGCGACGCTCCTTGCTACGTGCAAGCCCGCTGGGCACTGAGTCGTCGAAGGTTGAACCCTGCTGAATCGCAAGGGATAATAGAGAGCGAGAAAGAGATAGAGAGAGAGAGAGAGAGAACGAGAAAGAGAGAGAGAGAGAGGGAGAGAGCGAGAGAGAGAGAGAGAGAGAGAGAGAGAGAGGGAGAGGGAGGGAGAGAGAGAGAGAGAGACCGACGCACGCGCACACAGGGAATCCGACATGCCAACGAACGCGGGCCTCCTTTGGACCCCCTCCTAGTGGGGTTCTCCTCCTCCTCCTCCTCCTCCTCCTCCTCCTCCTCTTCCGTCCTTGCGCTTCCCTCCCACTCCTACTCCCTGTCGCTTCTTTCCGCTCCTTTCACCCCCAATGAATCTCCTCCTGTCGCTCCCTGTCAGGAGGGACAACTCCCGACGGACGGGTTGTTGACCAAGTCGGCCGTGTTTGGTTTCACGCTCAGCGGGTAAGGGTAGACATGGAAGGGAAAAGCGTGTGAAGTGGGAGTTTGGTCTCCGAATGGGTGGCGAGGGGGGGGATCGAGAAGGATATGGAGATGGGGGATACAGAGGAGGCGGAGGAGGAGGAGGAGGAGGAGGAGG